ACCAAACGGACTCAGCCATAAAAGGAAGAGCCGATCGATATGTGGTATATCTGTTGAACTGGAGTACGATGTTGCGAATAAGGGAAGGGGAAAAGCGAATCCCGGGGACAGCTTGCTGTATATGCCACCAAACAATGAAACCGCGAGCAAATCTATTAAGGCAATCACGACAAGAAACAAAGAAATAGATGCAAATGCACTGGCGCGAGCATGGAACATTGGCCTAGAGACAGCTAAAAAGACACTGCAGGTCACGACTCAAAAAGGCATGCGCCAGATTAACCAAGCCCCATACAAAAGATTCAAAAGACAGAGTTATCATAGGAAAAGGACAATATCAGGCAAATGGTATTCAGACACAACATTCTACAAATGTAAAAGTATTACTAACGGAGATGTTGCAGCGCAAGTAACCACGAATGGTAAAGGATATGCCCGGTTCTGCCCAATCAGAATGAAAGGACAGGCGCATGATGGCTTAATGGATTTCATTAATAAAGTGGGACTGCCGGAGCACTTAATAACAGACGGCAGCAAGGAACAAGGAGCAGCAAATACACACAACACACTGTGGATGAAACTAATCAAGAAGTATGGAATACACCAAACATGGACCGAACCACACTCATGGTGGCAGAACCTCGCCGAACGCGAGATAGGTGAAATCAAAAGAGAAATGAAGCGTTACATGAGTAAAGCCCACAGCCCACGGAGACTATGGGCGTTCCTTGGTACATATGTATGTGGTAAGCGAGCTATAACAGCATCTAACATACCACACAATGAAGGACGGACACCATACGAGATAGTGATGGGACATACACCGGACATCGGAATATGGTTGGAATTCAATTGGTATGATTGGGTGTATTACCTTGATGAGAACAAAGAAACAAAAATTGCACGATGGTTAGGCCCAGCCCAAGACTACGGAGCTGGGGACTGTTACTGGTTGTTACCAATATCATGTAAACCAATCGTAAGAAGCACAGTATGGAAAATACCCCGCGAAGAGATCAACAGTGATGAGACTCGCAATGCTATTAACCGATTTGACGAGATAATCAGACTAAAGATTGGAGATGATAACAAAGAATCGGGGACCGAAGAAGACACCAACATTGCAGACATGATGATCGATGATCAACAGGAGGAATCCTACAATACGGACAGACCGGAAGAATCGATACCAGACCCGGATGACTACACACCCGAAGCCTACGATGAATACATAAACGCAGAAATCATGATACCTATGGGAGATGAAAGGATAAGAGGTGTCGTAAAGAAGAGGGTAAAGGATGATGACGGACTACCAGTTGGCAAAAGACATGCAAACCCACTCCTCGACAGCAGACTGTACGAGGTTGAAATGCCAGATGGGACGGCCGAAGCATACTCAGCAAACCTAATCGCTGAGAATATATACGCACAATGTGATGATGAAGGGAATACATACCTGATACTGGATGAAATCATTGATCACCGAAGGAACAACCAAGCAATTAGGCCTGAAGAAGGCTGGATACAAACAAAGAGTGGGAAAAGAAGACGGAAAACAACCGTAGGATGGGAATTACTAATAACATTCAAAGAAGGGTTCACCGAATGGGTACGGCTAGCAGATGTAAAGGAATCATTCCCAGTGGAAGTCGCTGAGTATGCAGCAGGAAATGGATTATCACAAGAACCAGCATTTGCATGGTGGATCAATGACGTACTTAGGAAAAGGGACAGGATCATATGTAAGGTAAAGTCTAAATATTGGAGACGGTCCCACAAGTACGGTGTTGAGCTGCCGCATTCAATCAAGGAAGCCCTTGAGCTGGATAGGAGAAGTGAAAACGATTACTGGAGGCGAGCAATTGAAAAGGAAATGCGAAACAATGCAATCGCGTTTGAGATAATGGACGATGCGAGCTCCCCCCCAGTGGGGTATGAACACTTAACATACCATATGATATTTGATGTTAAGCTAACACTGGACCGTAAGGCGAGATTAACAGCTGACGGTCATAAAGTGAGGAAACAACCAGTCGAGAACTGCTATTCATCAGTACCAAGCAGGGACTCGGTAAGAATATTCTTCTTGTTGGCAGCACTAAACGATCTGGACATACTGTCAGCAGATATTCAAAATGCATACCTAACAGCTCCGATTAAGGAGAAGTACTATATTGTATGCGGAGCAGAGTTCGGATCAAATGAAGGTTGGCTGGCGAAAGTAGTTAGGGCTTTATATGGATTGGGTGTAGCTGGTGCCAGCTTCCGATCCTACCTTGGACAAAAGCTCAGGATACTAGGATATATACCAACTAAAGCAGACCCTGACATGTGGATACGACCAGCGGTGAAGCCAAATGGCGAGAAATACTATGAGTATCTAATAGCTTATGTGGACGATTTATGTGGGATGTCGGTCGACACGAGAAGCATGTTCAATGCGATTGAAGGAATGTTTAAATTAAAGGACGGATCCTTGATGAGACCTGAGTTATACTTAGGAGCAACGATCGAAAGAGTACAAATATCCAACTCGGATGATCCGGGCAAATACAGATGGGCAATGTCGTCAACGAAGTACACTAAAAAGGCAATAAAGGAAGTGGAAAACGAGCTGATGAAGGCAGGAAAGCGACTACCAACTAGGGCGGAGACCCCGTTATCCAATAACTACAGGCCCGAGATAGATCCAACCCCGGAATTAGATGCAAAAAGGCAAAATTACTATCAGGGACTGGTTGGCGTACTTCGATGGATATGCGAGCTAGGAAGATTAGATATCCTAGTGGCAGTATCCCTACTATCAAGATATTTAGCACAAGCTCGGGAAGGACATCTAGAGCAAATATTTCATATATTTGCATATCTCAAAGCTTATATATCGTCAAAGATAGTATTCGATGACTCGCAGCCAGCAATCGACTGGAGTAATAGGTTTCAAGACTGCAACTGGAAAGAATTCTACCCGGAGGCAGAAGAACTCGTGCCAGGCGACTGCCTTGAGCCGCGAGGAAGACCGGTATCAATGTATTGTTTTGTCGATGCAGACCACGCCGGATGTAAACAAACGCGGAGATCGCATACAGGGGTCCTGATATACCTCAACAATGCACCAATACTATGGCACTCCAAAAGGCAAAATACAGTGGAAACATCAACCTTTGGAAGTGAAATCGTTGCATTGAGGATAGCAATCGAGATGATTGAAGGACTTCGGTACAAACTCCGGATGTTTGGTGTACCGATTGATGGAGCATGCAAGGTAATGTGTGATAATGAGTCGGTCGTAAAGAATGTAACAAGACCTGAGAGTGCACTGAAAAAGAAGGCCAGTGCGATATGCTATCACAAGGCCAGGGAAAGCATTGCAGCCGGATGGGTGCAAATATGCAAGGAGTTAGGGGACACGAATGTCGCTGACTTACTGACCAAGCTGATGGCAGGACCGAGGCTGCGAAGACTATCAAGTTACTGTATGTGGAGATGACAAGCGAGTACGGATTGCATACTGTAGTACAGTAAGCAAGAGATGCTGAAAGTAGCAAGTTAGATGAATGTACCATTCCACGTACAAAGCAGTAAGATTATACGCTAATGGCGTTGGTGAAGTACCAAAACGGTACTGGAAACACCAGACGATGTAAAACACATCTGAGGCATTAGTGTTGGTCGCAAGGCAATTGCGAAACACCCCATTTTTTTTATAAAGACTCCTATTCATATAGGTGGGCCTCTGTAATTGGAAATATACGGACATGTATATGATTCAACTTCACGGATATAACGATACATATGAAGCATATAGATATCACGTATCAGTTGAAGGGGACTGAATGAAGTTATACGTAACCAGTGATAAATAAGCGATATATATATATCGCTGGTTTATAGGTCGCGAATGGAATGCACATGGAGTGCGTCAGAATATAGCTTATAATTTTATTTATAACAAACCAATTACATGCCTACTACGGTACGTATTTTAGTCACTTACACGTGTATTTATTCATCTCCGGCTGAGTCCGGTTTCAATTGTTATGAAACTCGTAGTATTCTTTTTGTAATCCAGCGCGCGTGATTACACGTGAAAAGCGAGCAACTGGAGATTACTTCGTACAGTAATTAAGTACTTTAATTACAGTCGATGTTTAACAAAAAATAATTGTTGAAGGTTTGAATGAGCGAAAGGTTTGAAAGGGCTTAGAGCTACTAAGTACAATTCCCATAATGGCAAGCTATTGGCAATTTCCCGACTATCAATTTTTTTTATTTTCCCGTCATTATGGGAATTGTACTTAGTAGCTCTAAAAGGGCTAGGCTACGGGTACTCGTACGAACCAGAGTACACACGGTATTAAAGTGTTTACATAGTCTACTTTTACCTCAAGATTTCATCTCGTTTCATTAAATATTTTACTGTACGGTACTAGTAGTATTTTTSTTATAGATCATGACAAGAACATAATTATAATTTATACGACTAATAATATCGTATTATTTTTTAATTTTTTAACGTTTGAAAAAGAATGGACATCATTCCCTCTGACATACTCATTGAAAGAAACCGAATTCTTCAGCACCACATTACAGTTTCGTGGTTTTCAAAGTGCCTTCCTTTTTATCATGAGAAAACGAACTAAAGAAACAAGGYACGTTTTTTTTATCCGAAACGAKTTTTTAATATAAGTTCCGTACTCAGGGGGCATAATTTAGACCCCTGCCCTACTTTCATACCGTTTTTCTTAAAAAGCAAKACCATCGGTTTTGTCGGAGGTTGCTAAAATATCACGGTACCGTATATTCGCGTGTGTTTGAGAATTTCCGTGTTTCTTTTTMTCTTGTCTTTGGTCGGACGGTCGAGTACGTATTCGTACTTACTATGGCACTGGGAAACACATTCCATTCCTTTTGGGTCACTTATCAGTATCCGATCATTCTACAAGTTGTGTACCATATCGCAACTTGTACTTATTTACCACCTACTGTCTAGCATTGAAATTTATTTTTGTCTCCGGTAAGCCCTATCGTCGGAAAGCTCTCTTCCCCCTACCAAGACGCATCACATCGAACCAAGTTGGATCTTTCTTTTTTTTAAGATACTCGCATAAAAGATGGAACCTAATTTYCGTGAACAAGAAAATGACGCCATCGCGTCATGGTGTAACACTCCCGATGATTGGAAAAATACAACAGGAATTCGTTCCACTTTTACCATGTTTGACAGTGGTAGCAAATGCACCGCTACCACCGCTGACGACTCGTCAACGAACGGTTATTGGTCATCCTCGTCGTTTTCGTCGATTATCTCCGGGAGTACTAAGGGACAAACAAGCGTTCGGGAGATAGACAGCATTCTTATGGCCAGCAGTACAAGCTCAAGACAAAATTGCGAATCGTCGACATCGAAATTGGCGCACGACAAAAGCAACGCATCCCGTCAAGAGAAGCAGAAGATAGAAATACAGGTTTTCCACTCAAATAGGATAGTACCAAAGACACTCAGAGATCATTGTGCCAAGAGCGAAGGAAGCTACTGGAGCGAACCAACGAGTGGGCGGCGGCGTAGAACTGCTACTTCAAGATTCGGTTGTTTTGCGTCTTCGTCTTCGATGGCAAACGAGAAAGCGGCGTCGACTGGTGTTTTTTCTCCCAGATATACCGGGTCATTGAGTGACGAAGACAAGGGCTCTACTACCAAGATGATAAAAATAGCCCATCACAAGTACAACCAGAGGGTCACGAAAGTCTATTTCCACGAGCAGCTTTACGACCAYAAAGGGGCGGAAACCTCCTGCACTGAACCAAAGAACAAACGCCGACGCCTGCTACCAGGTGCGAATCAAGATGACATCACTAAAATCCCAAGAAAAAATAATGTTGTAAAGAAATTGGCAATCCCTAGCAGTAATAACAACAGTTCAAACGCTAAGAACGGGACACCAAAGATTAAGGAAAAGCGAGGAAGATCCAGCATGTGGTGTTGGAATGATACACATTGCGGCATAGAATCTATTAGTGTTGACGAAAATTCAAAACTGAATACGAAACTCACGGATCAAATCTATGAAACATTCAAAGATGACTATAATCGAGATCTCACCAATAACAGAATGCATTTGACTGAGCCACCCGAACGACAAAGGTGCTGCAGTGAACAACTCGTTGCTATAGCTACGAAAATGACAAAAATGCCCAAAATCAGAAKCAAAACCGCTCACAAATCTAACATTCATACCCGAAATACAATAAAAATTGACAGCGTTTCATACATTGATACGAATAAAAGGATGGACCTGCATCACGGCGAGGCAAAAGTAAGAAAAGATCCTACCGGATTATCCGAACTTTCTGGAAGAGAAATGAAAACCTCGAATAATTTCACTACAGTGGGTTGCACTCCCATTACAAGAGACGTGGGTTACAACACGAAAATCTTTTACAAAGCAACAGAGGGATTTAAACAACCAATTTACCCTTATGCGCTAGATTTGATTTCGACGGTTTGTAACCATTCCTATGTTGCCATCGATTCCGATCAATGTGAACTAAAACGAGGCACGAAGACCTGCCATCAAGATCATTATCAGCAAGTTCATCGAATACTAGACAAGCCTCTATCTGGTTATACAGCGGAGACAGAACCAGAGAAAGAAAGATTGATGAGACTACACGTAAGCGACGTTGCACTCGTCATCAGTGTTTCATTTGAATGCTCGAATTAGATGATTTCGTTCGATGTAAGCAATAATTTCTACTTTCCTTACTCACTTTTCGTATTTACTTGGCTTCCGTACTTTCCCCCTGAATTTACCTTGCTATCAAACCCAAAAGCTCCAGCAACGAYTTGCCGCCGCGACTTCTACTGGAATGTCGCCTATTGAGTTTTCTAGGAAACTTTTGCATTTCTGGGGAGGAACACTTGGACGTTACGAAACGACGGTTGTCGCCGATAGCGGGAACGATTTTTCCTAAACTCATAGCTCTAGGGTTGAAGATGCGAACATAAGATCGAGAATATTGGTACAGAGGACGCAAATACAATTCGCCGTGTATGAATTTCTGTTTTTTTGAAACCTTTGATGTAGCAAACTTCACTATGTCTCAGAAGTAGCCACGAGCAATTCTGTCGTTTGAAATCTAAAACCCGGTCGCAAACAGCGGCCATCCTAGCTTGTGTGACAACAGAGGAATGTAAACACAGTACTTCATCTCGCTTTTGAATTAGTTCGTCGCACATTCTGCCTCGAGGTTCAATACCTGCGCTGCAAGAAATCAACCATGTATCTATACCTCGTCAGCTCAAAATACACCATCCCATCGATCAAAAATTTTCTTCATATTAGATAATATAAAGTTTAATTTTCTCTGACCGAATATATAGGACAGTCGACGCTAGAACATGAAAACAATAGAACGCCATACTAAAAATACGGTAAATTTGCTATACATTTCAGCATTGAGCGACTAACTGGTGTTGAAAAGCTGACCACTTGCAATCACGCATTGAGAGCATTATTTCATGAACTCTATTCATGTACCGCACAACGAGCTTTAATGTGACGGTGGCAAAAAGAATTTTATATTAGATKAAATTTTAGTAAAATCCATCAACAATAATTTGACGGGAGCTTTCACGTTCAGCTAAGACTTGTTGACGGATTGAATGCCCAGACCAAATTTCATGCAAATCATCGTAACGATCAAGATCCAAATTCAATGGACGTCCTCTGTATTGCGGAGTTTCTCCGTGACTATCCACGTACGGACTGTGGATATATGCTGCCTTTCCGTTGTGCATTATCAAGCCGGCACATTCTTGCAAAAGGAAGAACATACCCGCTCCAGCTCCACACTGATTCGAATGCCTTGTACATTCTCCCCTGCCTCCTGCATTCATCACTTCTCCACAAACAAGACAAACAGCTGTTTGCTCGCTATCAGGTAGCAACTGACTGAGCTCCGCATACAAGTCAGTATAGGATGTTGGTACCATTGATATTCGTGGGCGCCTTTTACTCGTCATGGGAGCTAATTTCGAACTGTAACCACCGATTAATTCTACACTCTTCTTTGAGCTAAACGAAACCAAAGGCGGCGGTGCTTGAGGTCGAGCAGTGGGATTAGTAGGCTCTACTGGCAGATCGATTTCCATAGGTGTCCCTTCAACTTTTTCTTTGGACCTAGTGGTGTCTTTTTCTTTCAAACTTCTTTCAGTTTGATTTGGTTCTCCAACGTCATGGCATGACTCCATAGGCCAATCATATACTCGAAAACCCTGCGTTTCGAAGAGTCTACTGGTAATCATTGCTCCTGTCCTCTTTATTTTGGCGGCGGTCAATGATTTTGCATAATTGTGGTGACTCCGTGCTGTGTCGTACCAGTTTGATACAACGTTACTGATAGCCTCAGATTCAAGAATTTCCGAAATAGGTTCAATTCCGAAGAATGCATGGAGCTCTGTCAAAGTAGCGAACATATTATTGTTACCATCGACTTTTTCATTTAAAGTTGCTGAACTCATATATCGTGCCATTATGCCTGGGACTAAGAGTTGCAAAATGATTCCTATGTCTGCGAAGAACGAACACGCAGCCCGAGCTGCCAAGAAACACCCCTTTTCAATTCTGTTGGCAATACTTGCGTCAGAATGCAATCCTTCTCCGACTTCACTAGACTGCTGGTGTTTAGAAAGTGCCATCTCCAGAAGAGTAACGCAATTTACAGTCCAGATACTCTCAGCTGAACTTCCCTGAGTAAGACCAGCACGCATTTTTTGAATGGTTTCCAAAACTGCATACTCTGCKTCTGCGTTTAGAATGCCAATGGTTCCAAGCAACACTTGTAGAACTCGTGCTAAAAGACCGAGCTTAACGAAACCCTCTGCGTCGTCGATCATAGAATCAGCACTCTTTCCATGAATAAAGCTGCCTCTGCTTGAGAAAGGAATCGGCCATGCAACTTCCAAGGAATCGCTAATTGCTCTGGCTCTCCCTCCAGAGGCACACATTGCTGCAACCACATGGGTTAAAATATTTCCCAACAAAATGGGGTAAACGATAGGCGATCGGTATGGCTCAGTTGGTACGTTATTTGGTGTTTGCAACGGAAAGCCTATTACGAGCTGGACAAGGTCTGCCGCCACTGGACCGGCAGTTGCCATCACTGCAAGACCTAAATACCTCAATCGACCTAGCCTTCCGTTGAAAGGTTGAAAACCATCGTCTTCTGTTGCATTAGGCTGAGGTAATATAATGAGCTGTCCATTACACAAAATATCAGCAATGCCGTATCTTGAGAATATTGCATTAGTGCTTCTAGTATCTGGCGATGATGCTGACCCAGCGTACTTGGCAGCCTTCATTTTGGCTTGCTTTGTCAGGCGTCGGGCTTCGTTTGCTTCGCAACAAACACTGTAGGTCAAACTTTGTATGGACATCATTAATTTTGACAGTAGTTTTTCTCTAGAAAGTTCCTGGCGCTGTGTATCATACAGTGCGGTTGGAAAAACACACGATGGCCACTAACAAAAAGAAATTGTATTTGAGAATCATATCAGGACTTTTGAGGCAAASTCCTCAAGCAATAGTCAATATGAAAACTTACATCCAATGGTTCCTTGTTTGCAAATTTATTCGCCAAATTGTAGGAATACTTTTCAACGATGTAATGCCTGAATTCTCCGAAGTCTCGATGAAGATTTTCGTCCCCCAATCTCTTTCCGTCGGCTTTGTACGTAATATCGCTGACCTGGTCCATAAATCTTCTCCATACAACAGTCTCCGCGGCTGTATCTGTCGATGATAAGTGCGAAGCATTTGGATCATCTAAACTGGTATGCTGGGCAACTATATTAGTAGAGTTGCTATCTGACCTCGAGCGAAGTTTGCGTCTGACAAACCTTGGTGTTTTCATCATTGCGTTCCAGGCCGCATAAAGATCCTTTTTTCGCAAGGCTCTCACACTTCGACGACGAGGTATCGCACTTATGTCAGTTTTGTATTCTTGCTTAGCTGTATTGGAAACAAAAGCGCATTGGCCGTCCCAAGTAATAGAGTCAGTATGGCGAGAGACCCACCATGGTGTTGCGTCTAGAAACTGTTGGGATGACGAGGGTCCCACTACTTCCATTGACTCACATGACATCTCATCTTCCATATCTTCAGTTTTGAGTTTTGTTAATTCCATTGGTGCTGAATTATTTCTTGTACACACAGGGTCGACCCAGTCTGCGCCTACATCAATGAATGGGATCAGACAATTACTCAACCTTTGACAAAGGGGGCATCGAAACTCGTCTCTCTTTGAAACACGTCTCTCTTCTCGGCGAGAAACTGTATGAAGATAAGATTCCCAACATTCACTATGGATTGCATGGCCACATAATGCCACATGAGCTCCGACAAAACGTCTGACTGGTACAAACGAACACGTGTCCCCACTAATGGGAGGTGGACCTCCTCCACCTTTCATTACAGTACTTGCTTGTGTGTAGCCCACAAAGGCTAGGGCGTTACCACCATTATTACGTCTTCGACGACTGTGTCGATTTCCCAATTCTTCCCGTTCTTTTGTTCTCTTCTCAGCATTACTATCATCGCTGCATATTATGCATTGTGGTCGAGCCTTAAGAAGCCTCATTGGAATTTGGAGTTCATCAGCTCTTTGTTGAACTCCACTAGATGAAGCAATAGATGGCGACTTATCGGAGTCTGTCAATGATCTCATACTCGTTCCCAAGATTATGCTAGACTGATGGGGTACGGAAGACATTGATGTGTCTTCAAGCAATTTATCTGTTCCAGGTTCTTCTTTTTCATCCCCGTCACCCAATTCTTCTTGCATTGCAAACGCAAATTTTGCGGCCTGTGCTTTCATCCTTTCCATTGCCTTTTCCTTCGCAACTCGTTTGCGTTTTTCTAGTTCTGTTTCTTGTTTCTCACTATCATCTATGCAATCAGCTGACTCCTCGAAGTAAACCAACTTACTAGCTTCGCTATCATATCTTGCAGCAAACTCACATAACCAAGCTGCTCCAGCTTGCACAGCTCGATCCTGTGCGAAAAAACAACCATCATAACCACCATCAACAGCAAGTCGGCGAAGTAGTYGTAAGCAATTCTCTTCCCCCTCGTACCATTCGGAAGCTTGTTGAATATTAGGACTCGTCATGATGGCGGCAGCAATCCATTCTTTAGCGGTGGGAGCGGCAATGTTATCGCTACGATCAAAGAAAATGCTCCCAACAGACCCTCCCCCGTTTCTTCGCCAGTTTTTGTCTCCACTGGAAGCATCCTGCCAGGCGTATGCTCCAAGTGTTAGTAAATGCACAGCACGGGCAACAGCTGTCTCACTTTTATCATCTTCTTCATATGCTATGGCACCCCGCAACTCAGATGYCTTTTCTGCTTTCTTGCTATCTCGAATGTGCATATGTAGAGTTCGGTATGTTATGGCAAGAATTGTGGCATCGGAAGTGACATCTCTTCTCAGACGAACAAAGTCACGATGTGATTCAAATAATGAAGGGCAAAACGGCTTGGGCTTCACTCGAAACTTATTGTCTGCAGGGAAAGCAGGTCGTGATTCCGCCGCAGTCTGGTGATTTCGAAGATTGATGTGATAGAAACTCGGATCGTATGATTCCCAGGCTTCCCGATTCAATTCCCACTTATGAGGTTCGTTTGTTCTTCGAGATATTTTTCGATTCGCTACTTCTCCCAACACAACACCAAGAGCTGCACCTGTCGCATCATCTGGATTCACCAATTTCCCCTCTTCGCTGAGGTATACGTTATCCCAGTGACTTAGCACATGATGAACTTCCGCCATTTCACTGTGAGTCTTGGGTCCAGATGCCAAGCGGTGAATGACCTCACGCTTCAATCTCCAYTTTGCCTGAGCAGTATGTGCTGTCTTGTCGGAAGGTGGCGCAGGAGGAAGTTCTTTGCAGATAATAATCATAGCATGCAGAAATTCTTCCAACAAAAGCAAGCAAGAAGCTGAATCCCGTGCCGGGGAGTAAGTGGAAGGCATCGCAGAATCATTTCCCATATCTTCTGAATTCATTTCCCCAGGATACAAACCCTTTTCCACTTCATCCAAATATTGATTGGCATCGGTATCTGGGGCCTTTGCAAGACCACAAAAGTCAAAAAGTCCCAACCGATGCAATAGAAGATGAACCAAAAAGCAAACTCCTACATCGGAATCATGGCGGGGGTCCTTGGTCTGGTTTTGGATACGGCCTAGCATTGCAAACTGGATCAAAAGCAAATCAGCATCTCGCATGGCCCGGCAAAAAGGTGGCTCAGCATAATTTAGTACCTGATCACTCAGGCCGTTTCCATTTCGCCTCCACAATCCCGCACGGACTTGCGCAGCTCTAGACAATACCAAAAGTGGAAATTCCATCAATCCGWTGAAAAGTTCATCTAGGAATTCTCTTGTCAGATTTTTCGATAAAAGCTTGCGTAAATCTCGAATACCGGACTCTCGTAAACACGCTTCACGCAAGCAAGCTGCGACAAACCTGTGGAGAGGAAGATGGAACGAGAACGGTGTCACTTGAGCTACCGGAAGTGCCCGAAAGGCCAGGACAGAACCCCTCTGAACAGAAATAGTTGAAAATGGTAAGCTCGCTGACCGTTGCTCATAGGGTTTTCGCGACCCATCGTGAGCAGTGGGCGTATACGTGCTCATTGCAAGACTCTGCCATTCGTGTATTCCCGTGGTCAACACATGCAGAGTCAATTCTACACAGGTCATGAGATTTTTCGACATAGGAGAATTCTGATCCTGGATGGGGGATGGGTCAGAATCGTCCCAACTCAGGAGTCTTTCAAAAAGCGATCCAAGGCTAATTGAAGCATTGAAGGCACCAACCCACCCGCGGTGTTCCACCTCGACGTGTCCCTGGCTCCAACATCTCCAGACTTGCGAATCCATCATCTGTCCCAATCCTAACGCAGCGATCCAATCATTCAAAAATAGCGATGACTTCGAAGCAAACAACCGAGGCATTCCTTTCACATTCAGAACGCACTTCAAGTCCGAAATGCACGGAGAGTACCGTCGATTCATCATTACGAAGTGATTGGGATCCAGTCGTCGTTGCCGGCGAGCATTGTGGCTAACACTAGTCTTCGCATCGGATCCTTCATCCACGGGAACCGCGGCTACATCCAGCGTCTGAAAGAGACTGGCCCCTAATTTTCCCAGTAGATCGCGCCGCTGTACCAAATCTACTACGTAGGTGACACGGTTTAAGAACTGCACACTTAGAGCGTACCCGCTCCTCTCCAACACGCCCATCCCACGGGCATATTCCGCTGTCACCGATTGATATGTATCGCAATAGGCTACGGCCAGGTGTGACTTGAATGTCGGAACCGCAAGCAGCGTCAAAAGGAGAGAGTGCCAATATTTTGTGACACGGGAGCTGAGCTTGAAATCCGCCCGCAACAAGGGCGCCAGGTGTCGATCGGGGGAAATCGATTCTGCAACTTTTTGGCAGAGCGGATCACAGGATCGAGCCAATCCCGTCAGCCACTGCAACACATTTACGGCTCTCTGTTCTAGCTGAAGTTCTCTACGGGTAAGAATGCAACAAAAGAGTCCATGTGTGCGACTCAAAATCTCGGCGCGACGGAGCATAGCGGATCCCATGACACCGGAGGCAACCCGGTCTCCGTCTAGCCACAAACGGACCTGGGTCGGCGTCAGTTCCGACAACAGTTCTGTGGTGCCCCACACGACCAACTGGCCAAACTGCTTGAGCCCCTGAACGACCTTTCGCAAGGTAGACTGCGTGTAAAGGCTTGAGGTTCCAAATAGATCACGAAATGCCTCAAACAGTTGTCGGTCGTTGTGTATTTCGTCATTCTTCAGTATCAAATAGAGGCCGCCCTCTTGCCGTGCGAGCATCCCCAGTATTTCATTCTTCGCCAATGGTTCTTCTTTTTCTTCATGGGGGCGAGATCTTCCAGCGGCAGACGGTGAAAATATCCTCCGACGACCTGCTCCTACCGACAATGGCTTAGCTATTGTTTTTGCTGTTGTTGTTTTGGAAGGCGATAATGCTGTATCCCGTAGTAGCGCTGGGACTCTCGAGCTAAAATCATTCATGACGACGTCTCTACTTTCCGAAAGCCGTGGCAATCCGCGTCGCGATTGTAAATATCGGGGTAGTTCTTGATATTCTTGTTGCTGCTGCTTGGCCGCTTGCGTCGATTTTCCCTCTTCCTCTTCTACCCTCGCAAATCCCAGCTCCGCCGCGGACGCCACGTGCTTCACCATCCAATCGACTGCGGCCGGGACCACCCCCTGCACCCGAAAAATCACGCTGCCGCTAAGCGGCCCCAGGTTGCGCAGGGTGTCGTCGTCGTCGTCGTTGTAGTCGGCGCCCTCCCACGCCGCGGAGGCCGCTGGCCCATGTCTACTGCAAAAGCCAGCGGGGTCCCAGGCGTCTGGATCGCCGCAATCGCAGCAGCCACCGGCCTGGGCGTGGTAAAAGGCAACATCATGGCCCTCGTGGTCCGATCCCTTGTAGCAGGCGTGGCAGAGGACGCAGGTTTCGTCGGCCTGGCAGGTCCGGCAGACCCACACAATGTCGTTTTTTTTGAAAGGGTGCTGACAAACCCTTCGAGGGACGGTCCTCGAGAGCGACTCGAGGGTATTGATGGCGGCGCGGGGATTGCTGTAGCAAACGTCGTTTCCGGTGGCAATCGTCGTGAGGCTCGTCGTCAGAGGCGATCTCATCTGCAATTGAGACTCAAGTTTGTCGAGCTCTTCCAGATTTTCTAGGCCCCGATAAAGATTTTGTTGGCTGCGRTTAGGAAGCGGGTTCGCGCTGCCCTCGAGTTCGTTGCTTTCGAGAACCCGAAGGCCGCTGGTTGCAATTCCAAGAGCACGGTGGAGTTCTGAGCGACTGGAAGCGGTGGTTTCGTCGTCACCGGCAGAGGCCGCACTGTCGGAGGTGCTAGTGTGACCATTGCCATTGTCGTCGTTTCTTTCCCTGGGAAAGTCATTGTCACCACTGCTGCTAGTTGTTCCGGGAGGCGTGCTACCGCTGCTATTTCGCACCCGCCCCGGTGAAATGGTGATGTTGTGCAAGGGCACCACCGAGGGCATCGGAGCCAAAAAGCTAGCTCCTTCCGACGGGAGATCTTCAAGTAGTTTGGTCGTTGCTCGAAAGGCTTCGTCGGCCCATTGTTGTCGCTTGCTCTGATTTTGATTTCCCTGAGTCGCCGCGGAAGACGACGTCGGCGTTGTTGATTCTGCTCGTTCGGCACTATTTTCTGCTTGCTGCACCTTTGGCATTTTCGCCGGGGGCTTGGAATCGTCCACCTCACCGTTGCCTTCGACGTTCGAAATACTGTTGCTCATCGCGCGATGCTAATGTGATCTGATCTTTCAGAGGAAGAGTGGAGTGGATGGATTGAGTCAACCAATCAACCGAAGCAACAGGTGAAGGAATTCCGAAATGGAATACTGTAAATGGAATAGGAACAGGGATTCGGAATGCCAGCGTGGGCGAGAAGACGGTTTCGATGCCGATGGTTTCGAGAACACCGCGATAAACGTGAAGAAGCGAAGGTTGGATGGTACTTCAAATAGTACGAGTATGGTATGTGAAGTCAATTATTGTTATCGACCGAATGGCGACGGAAAAAAGAAGGTCCGATATCACAAGACGGGAAACAAAAACAGCATATCTTACCAATTATCAATACCCTACGATACTCGTACGGTAGAAGTATTCGTACTCAGTAAGCGTACCCCCACAGCCCGGAGGTAATGGTCCTCGTGCTCGCTTTTATGGTATTTTGTATTTTTGTTCGGTTCGAATTCTTCAGTCTCGGATCGAGGGTCGAGTGTGATATTACGACGTGGACATAAGTTAGTATGAACTATGGGTACGTACCGTAGTGTGTACGTACGGCACTTTATTGAGGAAAGTCAAACTTGGGTGATTCGCCGAAGAATAAAGATTGTACGGTACATATCGTACTTACCGGCATTGAGGTCAAATAAATTTAGCCACTGCTACTAGTACGCATTGTATTAGAGCTACTACTGTAGCAAGTAAGGGCCCCATGCTGGCAAGTTATTGGCATTTCCCGTACAAACACTACTAGTATAAAATTTTAGTTCATTTTCATGGGTTAAATCCTATTAAATCCTATATTGGGTGATTCCCGTTATTCTAGAAACTCATGATTTGGTAGTACTACCTACTACTAGTAGTACTAGTACTAGTAGTAGACTGACAGAGGACGTATTTAGAGAATCTGACTAGTAGATTTAGCATATTTAGAACCGGTCAAAGCACCCCATCCTAAATACTCTAGATTTAGAGTGGATTCTGGCCTCACATTTGGTGCCAATGCTTGAGCCAATCATTGAGTCAAAGGAGTCAACAAATCTGTTTATAGTCTATAAGATTACAACAAGTTGCACAGGTATGATCTGGAGGTAGATATGGGATGTATCCACCAACTGCAACAAGGGGGGGGGTCATAGTTCCTATTCCCAAACGACACAGGAAGGCTCAGATCTGAGCAGTATTGCTAGATTCAGTCATAGACATTATACTGAGCCTGAGGCTGCCTTAAAGCTATCACCAAGCAGTGCCAAATCTATCTGGAATGACCCAGACATGGAGTATACTCACAGTGTCCTTAAATACTGGTCATTTCATCATAACTTTGACAAAGCTCAATGCCCCAAGGGCATAGTCAAGTGGGTTAAGCCCAGGGGTTTGACTCACTTGACTAAGCACTCAAATCCCAGTATTCACTGCTGAAAAGTTTGGTAGGTGGGTGGGAAAAAAGAGAAAAAGAAATTCATAGAGCAATGTCTCTATTTTGGTCTCTTAGCAAAGGACACCAAACTACAGTTTGATTAACAATGAGAGCAACTTTGCCTTGTGGCAGGAACACGGTTTTCTCTAACCCATAAAGAGARTGCTGGCTGCTGGGGACTGTGCCAGGATTTATTAAGAAACTGAACCCCATTTCACCTCCTACTGCCTGTTTGCAATTTTTTTTCAGACATCATGAAATGTCATTTTTTATTGGGAGTATTGGTGTCCTTCTTATAAGTGCCCTCTGTATCAGTGTACTAGTCCCCTGTATCAGTATGATCTCCTCCTATAGTATCAGCAGCTCCTCCATATCAGTAACAGCTTTGCTCCTCTATCAGCATACTACTCTGTATCAGTGTACTCCACATGACTGTAATACGTATCATTGCACTCCTGTGTATCACCAGCGTCCTTCTTTCTTGTATCAGTGTACTTTCTATCAGCATACTACYTAGTAGTCTTCCTCCATATCAGCGTGTTCCTCTGTATCAGCTTATCAGTGTGTGCTCTGTATCAGTGTCTCATCCTAAATTGGTTGATTGTTGCTTTTTTGGAAGAACCAATGTTAAACTTGTCTTATGGTAAAAAGTCATCCAATGGATCAAAGGTTACATTCCCTTTAATGCTATCATGGCAACACACTTCACTACATTATGCACTTCCATTTCTGACCTTATGATGACATGCCCRTGGCCAACGCTATACGATAACTGTTTAAGTCTTGAACTGACAGTTTGAGCTGTATCTTGGTCCCCAACGGATGCTTAACAATGATAAGCACATGAGTTGAATCATAGTAAAAAGACAAATTCAGTGATATGGGGGGTTATGGGGGGTTAATGAGTATTTGATTATATTACTGTACCTATACTGAGTATTAAAAATGTACGATTAAATTGGCTATTTTTGAATTGCCATGATTATACGATAGACAAGGCTTGAAAATGGAAGATCCTGTTGGTGATTTTGGGCTATCTTTTTTGGGTAATGACTACTTTGACTAAAAAACTAAATACATGCAAAATGAACGTGCTCAGTTGTGCTGTTGAATTTTTGAATCCCACCAGTTGTCTGACTAAATAGTTTGTGAGCATGTACTATTGCTGTACCAATAGTACAATTCAACTTTTAATCCCATGAGTCATTACACGATAAAAAGATAGCCCAAAATYGATGCACAGTAGAAAAATATGTAGAATGTTAACTAAGGGTCAACTCACCCTAACAGCTATAATTTGGTCCCCAATAAACACTTAGCACATGACTTGAATCCCACCAGTGAAAAGACAAAGCAACATCAACAATGGGAGTAATGGAGGTCATCACCATGTACTGGTACATTCAGTTGAACGTGGACGGGCAGCAAAGAAGTTACAAAAACAAACTATCTCTAGAAGAGGGTCAAAKGAGGGATATGATAACACCATGACTTGCAATCAGGAGATATGCTGATTCCCCTTCCTCCATACTATGTTCCACTCAGGCCTTCATCAAGCTCTTCTCAACTGCTGTGGTGTGGACCACAAGGTTTCAGAGAGATTGTGGACCTATTTGTTCCAGTGTACAACAAGTTTACTGTCAACAACGACAATGATATTGTGGAAGTTCCATGTTATCCCAGTGGCAAGCCCAAAGGGAAGAAAAGGGAGGCTGATGCAGTCTGTGCCATTAGACTGGTCCTTTATTGGTTCAGGACAAGAGGATCTGTTGCAAGGTCAATGGGCATGGCCTTTGGCTTGACATCCACAGTGATGTACAAGTGGCTCAAGTTTTCATGGAGAGTGATGCTTGTTGCCCTTCACAAACACCCAGACGCCATGGTCAGTGTTCCAACCAATGAAGAAGTGGATAAATATGTTAAGGCTATTGGAGACAAGTATCCACAGCTTGGAGAACAACACGTTTGGGGTGCTGTGGATGCACTGAAGCAAGTGATTGAAGCCTCTGGTGACTGGTACAAACAAAGATCATTCTACAATGCATGGAAAGAGAACACCTACATCAATAGTGTCTTTGCCTTTGCCCCGGATGGTAGAATATGGATTGCAGAGTACAACTGCCCCAGGGCTTGGCATCACAGTGCTATTGCTGAGCACGGTGTGTACCAAAGAATCGTGAAGGTCCATAGAGAGTGTATTTCCTTTCTTTGTTGTTGCAGAAAAGGGACCAACAAGACAAGGAGGAGGACAAGGAGGAGGACAAGGAGGCCGGCAAACACAGAGAGGGAGCTCATTGTCGCCCAACCGGCCTCAAAGACAGAGCACATTGTCCCATCCCCCACACGGTTTTTGTTGTTCACAAGATGGATCAAATTATATTGAGAGTATCGAAAATCAAATTTAGCGCATTTCTATAATAACAGGAATCACCCATTGAACAATGGGTTTTCGGGAATTCACATGATTCCAGACAACCGTCATCTTTGGTCGGGTCCCGCCTTGGCTCGTAGGGCTTTCCTCAGATTCGACACATCCTCGTTCCCTTGCCCGAGCGATCGCGAAACGAATTCTCATCGATGGCAGATCCATCGTTTCCAGACACGCCGTCTGAGGGAACCGTCATATATGGTTCATTCTTCTCCTTTTGGTAGGTGGTGTCTCTTTGGCCGATGCCACGAATACGATGCTTGTGTAACCACGGCATGAGCGCATACACAAATATCAGCCTCCACGCGCTTCCAGCTCGGTGGCAAAAACTCTCGGAGTAGCGGAATTTCATAAGATATACAAGCCCCAGAGTCTCGACAAAGGGGTGCCTGTGGGCTTCGTGGGCCAGGAGGTCGCACGTGTGGACCTGGGGGAGCTTGTCGAGCTTTCGTCCACGTCCCTTGGCAAGGAAGGGCCTGTCGATTCTACCGAGCGACGCCGTGGTGGCAATAATCATTTTGATCTGGAACAAATCCACAAAATATATTTGGGGCAGTTGGTCAATTTGAGTCGAAATAAAAAACGGTTCTGGTCGGGCAGCAAGGACGTACCATGCGAACAATAATGATGAATATGGTGAAAAAGTAGTTTGCCCATTCCAGGGCAAGCATCGCAATATTGGCATGGGCAGGTTTCTTTCGGTACAATCCATTGAAAAATGCAACTCGGCAACAACGTCCCAGCTATGCAATACATAATACACAAAAGAGTGTTAGAAAAACGTCAGTTATCTTCAAAACTCTTTCACAGTAAAAGCTAAATTGCAATTCAGCAATAGGACCTTACTCACAAGCGCTCTTATCAGCATGAAGATCACAAAACCTACGCCAAGCACTATTATCCGAAACGCGGCATACGAAGTTTCTTGCCACACAAACAAAAAGACGAGAAAGGCAACCACCGCGCCCGAAAGAATTGCCGAGACAAAGCAGCCCCAAAACGACGCACCGGTCAGAAGGGTGATGTTATCTGGCTTCAATCTGCACTTATCAAAATCCGGATTCCCTAGCGCAGGGATCACGCCGGTGCGCAGCTGAATCATGGTTGTTGTGACGCTGGGGATGTAGAGCAGAGAACATCGAATCGATGTGATGAACGCAACAATTATACCGACGATGAGAGGGACCACAACCATCCATTGTTCTACAGGCAGCAGGCTATCACCGATAGAAGTAATCGAAGCCATGACAGCGTTTCGAAAATCAGAAACGGCGCCTTCCAAACCGCTTCCTTTCAGGAGAGCACCATAAAGATCCGGATTGGTATCCTCCAAGGCTGGATTGTACAACAGAGAACAAAGTGCTTCAGTCGTGTTGGCTTCCTCGCAGGTCCAGTCCCCCCGAATTCCTAGTTTGCAAATTTCCGAAGGATCTGGAATTGCCGAGGAATCGTCGCAAAAGGCACCCGTGGCGTTTACGCTTTTGACGACAGCGTGAACCAACGCCAACGCCTCTTTTTGTGTCGTCGAGTTCCATTTTGCATCGAGTCGTTTGGCAAGGTAATTACCAATGAAAGAAGACCTTTCAGCGCGGGCATCTGCGCTTTTCCAGTTGTTAACTGTTGCTACGCTGCATAAAGATATTGATTTTTTGGAAACAAAGGCATCGTAAATGGCTTAGACGACGCACTGCTTTCTCACATTATTAAATGCATCTAGTTCGAATGTTACAGCGCACGAAATGAGACAATGGTACTTACAAAAAATTAGATCCGACGACGAGAACGAAGAAGCTGACGAACCATTGCGAGAGATTGGAGGCTATTAGGCGAGCCGAGTAAAACATTCCTTCTTCTTCAAAGATAGTTTGATCTCGAAATTTCTGCCAACACCAAAAAAGTCCACCAGCCTTCACGTATCTTGTTCCGTGCAAGGAATACGCGGAAAGCCCATGGCCGAAACGGGTTAGAAATACCTTAGGAGAGGATGTGCAGCGATGTATGTCCATGGCATTCGTGGCTAAAAGGTTGAGTTTAAATGCGGCCGATTGCTTGATTTGCAGTTCTTGTTTTAATGCACTGAAACCCATGATTCGTCCGATTTTTCTCTTGCCAAAATCGACGATTCCAAACCAAATAGTAACAACATGTGTCCTAGAAGTCGACAAGTCAAAACAAAGAATGAGTCGGATACATTTGGTAGATCACGATCGACAGCAAAGGCTGAAGCCACAACAGAACTCACAAGTGCAAGTACAAGGTAATACACAGCAGAAAGAGAGCAGTATATCTTGGATACATGTAGGTTTTTTCTCTTGAATCCGAGCGGATGGTGCTGTACTCCGGTTGCAAGTACAATGGAAAGACAAGCAACAAAATTGCTACACATCCAAAAAATGGTAGGTACCACCGTGGCTGCTCCATGTTGAAATTTCCGACACTTGCCATCCCAATAATCGAAATACCGAAGACACAAAACATCGCAAAACAAAACAGCCAATTCAAGACGCTAGCACCAGCGTGACAGAACATGCCGAACGCATTTGCTGTTATACTTCCTTGTTCCCCATACAGTTCGTTGCACTTTGCATCGATTCGGTCGATACCGAGAGGATTGCGAATCCAGGTCAAGCTGAACAGACCAAACACCGTTGCACACCACAAACAGACGATGAGTACTATATGAAGCGGAAGCAAAAGTAGCAGAGAGAATCTTTCTTTTAGTCATCACATCAATCGTGGAATCTTTGAGCTGCATTGGCTCCTAGTTGGGGCGTTTTTGCGTACAAATGTATGGCGTACGTACCTTTGGAGCGGTAAGTGCCCGCGAGAATGTCGATAGCCGGTGCGGTATAGATGCGTTTTACTTCGTGGATGTTCATCATGCTAGGCAGGGTTGTTTCTACCCCAGTATCTGTATCTACTTCCAGCGACGATGGAACGATTTTGGTGGGATCACCGATAGTATTCTTTGCGGTGATCGATCCTCGCCTCTTGACGAGAAGACTAGCGTTTAAGTTTTTGATACTTTTCTCATTTTTTGGGATCCTAGTTGTATCATCGCCATCATGAGCATCTTCGAATCTGATTCGATTGTGAAAATAAATATCTTCCATAATCGACGACTGCCTTGTTTCGTTTCTTAAATCATAGAGACGAACGTCGCTTGTCAAGCCACGACCGAATGCTTTTGCATCGAATGCAGTGTTTGTAGCACAAGCATTAGATTTGTTTGCTGTTTCCTCGTCGTGACAAACGCGGCCTTCAATGCTTTCAAATCTGCACGCTTCAACCATTTCTTCTAACAATGTCTGGTCGGCGGCCAATTCGTCTTCTCCATACATTAGTAGAATATTTCGTATAAAATCTGTTGTGATGGCTTCTGTTTCCGCCCCAGAATCCTTCCGGCATCCTACAAGCACGTCGTGCAAGATTATATCTGCGCAGACTTTCAATAAATCAGCTGGCGGCGACAAGATACCCTGGGGCAATGGAATGGTGCTACAGTTGTCGGCAGCAGCTGAAGCAACGCTCGGGGTTTCACTTTCGTCATTACCCTTGTTATTGAACGCGCCAAAATCATCATTGTATGATCCTTCCACATAAGCTGCCTTCAGCAACAGAGGAATCAACAGTATGGCTGTCACTTCCATGAGGTCGAGAACCTCGTCCTCGTTCGAAGAGCCCCCCATGCCGCGCAGTATCGTCTGCCTGACCTCATCGAGACCAACATCGATCCCAAACCTCGAGCACAAGTAGACCTGGATGTCCTCGGCTCGTATGCTCCCATCCGAGCGCACGGTTTCGCCACTTTGGTGGAGTGCGCAGATGTATTCGATTTCTTTGGCGTCCGGGGAAGCTCCCACGGGCCGATCAAAGGCCACCATTATGATTATTTCTTATGATTTCCTATTTYATTGCATTTCGCGTCGTTTTGGTTTGTGTTCGCTCAGATTTGGTTAGATTGGTTAGATTTTCGATACTGTATGGGATTGGTTGACCTATTCCGCATCGATTTACTGTRYTTAGGGGCGTCCAGAAAATATTATTGCCTTCTCCCATTGGGTCATTCTCGTACGAGAATGACTCAAGAAACATTGACTGACAAATTCCCGAAGCCCCCTCTGGGATTCTGGGATTTCTAGAAGTCACTTGCATAACGAAAAAAACGTTGTACGTTGTACCCCTCTCGGACCTAATATCCGGAGAAAAGCACCCCRAAGGCATCCCATAGGAAGTGTTAGGTGGAAGGAAGATYACTTCACGACAGTCTATGTTTACCACCGCCTTACAATAAATACCTTGAAGTCGAGACGGAAGTCATTTAAGAAAGAGCTATCCAARGTCTCTCATGGAGGATCCACAACGACTCCCGAACGATGTGGGAGACGATGAGGCTGCCGAATTACAGCGCCAGGCRGAAGAGGCCATGGAACAAATGCTTTTGGCMCAGGAAGACGAAGACRWAGACTTCCAAGACGGYGGAATCAATATAGACGGAGCAAACATCGAAAACAGGATTCACGACGAAAACGTTTTTGTGGATGGCGGGGACGGAGCCGATGTTGATCGGCAGCCAGACTTTGCCATCGAAGAGGAYGGAAACATTCTGAACGGCAACATGGGGTTCTTGGACGACGAGCTGATCCRCAACCGCGCCAATGRTCACGACGTGGCGACGCCAAGGAAAAACCCATTTACATACGTAAGCCTCAGCTTATGGGCTGCCGTGTTCCTAATTTATTACTCATACCGATCGAGGCAGCAATGGTACCTTGCCCTTGTCTTTTTGTCTTCGAGCAAGTACGCCTACGTGATCATGGGAAACGCCTTCGTCGCTACATTGATCTGGATCTTTCGTGTAACGACCAATTTCTTCTTGAATGGATTGCGTCTAAATGAAGCAGAGGGCCTCACGGATTATTTTCGATGGCACATTACGGAAACCTGTCTGGCACTGACGATTTTTCGGTYAGAGCTCAACGTGAAGACGTTTGTGCTCTTTTTGTTCTTGGTGTTGGCCAAGTGCCTGCACTACATTGTCGAACAGAGAGAGGCCCACCTGCGCATGACGGAGGAAATCGTGGTCGTCAATCCTTCCGGAAAATGGTTCGCCTTGAGACTTCAGCACGTCAAGTTGTTTGCCCTGATCTCTTTCCTGCAGTTTTCTGACGTTTGTGCAATCATTCTGTGCGGCCAGGACATTATGGAACACGGGCCTTCCGTGTCGATTCTCTTTGCATTCGAGAGTGCTATCATGCTGGTTTCGGTTATATCCAACTGTCTGCTGTGGTACCTTCATTTGCTGGACGGAATCTTTCATGCCATGCACGAAACCTCCCTGCCCGGCGCTCTTTTCCATGGTTGGATTTACCCCTGGAAGGACTACAAGGCAACGCTYGTGTTTGCGGTAGAATTACAGGCCCAGGYGGCAAAATTCATCTTTTACCTAACCTTCTTTGCCAGTGTCATGGCGTACTATGGGCTACCGATAAACCTGATCCGAGAAGTCTACGTCAGTTTCCTTGCRTTGAAGCAACGGGTAATGGCCTTTAATAAATATAGACAGCTCATGGCGAGTATGAATCGCTTCAAGAGTCCCACCGAAGAAGAATTAGAAGCAGAGGATCGCATTTGTATCATTTGTCGGGACGAAATGACGGTGGAAACCTCAAAACGGTTGCCTGGATGTGGTCATATGTAAGTAGTGCCGTTCCCTTTGTCCAGAATTATATCGCCATATCTATTCTTTGCTTCATTTGCATGGTTCTCATGTATCTGTCTTCCACTAAATTATCTCACTGGTGCATGGAAATATAGCTTCCACAAGAGCTGTCTTCGAGAATGGCTTGTGCAGCAACAGACATGTCCAACCTGTCGTGGAGATATTTCTGCCATGGAGGCACGCCAGAAAGCACAAGACCARATGAACGCTCGCATACAAGAGCAACGACTACAGGAAGAGACAGACGAAGCAGAAGGCGAGGGAATCGAAGAAGACAAGAAAYCCGCAGCGGCACAAACTAACGGGACAGAGCAACCAACAGAGGCGTCGGATGGTGAAKTSCAGCCGGGATCACTTAAGGTCGAAAGTGACTCGGACGAAAAAGCACCGATTTGCAAAGGCGSACAGGAAACAGAAGCAAAAGCAAAATCCAACACTGGTCTTGTTGACAAGGAACGCTCTGCGTTTCCGGCCTTTTATCGTGTTGTGTCCAATGCCGGGGCATCTGTGTATCTCGACCAGGATGCTGACTTGGCTCTCGCCGTGGTTCGCGTGGTCGCTTCCGGGGTGGTCATTTTGGGAATAGAAATGGAATATCGAAAATGCAACGAAGAATATCGCATGATGATCAAAATACCAGATGGGTGGGTGAGCGAAGACGACGTGGAGCGCATTGTTGCCGTGCCCCTGGAGGCGTTGCCACCCCCAATTCAATGCGATGATTTTGGTAACGGCATCAAATAGTACCGAAGTATTTGATCTTGGTTTCGGAGTCGCCATAATTCTCGGCGAGTATCAGAGAAGACCCTCTCTTTCAATAACTGATTTCGCCTGCCATGTAAACTACGAAGCAAAGACAGAGAGGCGTGCCACATTTCCAACATGGTTTTTAGAAGACTCAATTCCTAGTAATATTGTAATTATTTCAATGCTTTGTTCCAGCACTACAAATTMCTTTGTACTCTTACCRCGACGGATATTGATATTCAGTGACAASCCCTATTTTCACCTAGGGTGTCATGCTCTATATCCACTGCATGCATTTGGAATTTGCTGCCTAGAGCCTTTTCATCATACTGTTCATTGCTGATTCTTGTTGTTCTCCCCACTCCTTGCTGGGAGCACACCCGCTGCTCTTGGCACTGCTTGCACTGCTAGTGGCTCATGTTTTTCAGATCGTGACAACAAGCTCCTCATGCTGGTTGTCCAATATGTCTATTTCTAAAATTATTCATTCAAGATAGTAKAGCACTCAGTACAAGAATTGCTATCAACTGAATCAATTTTTTGGGACGAGGAAAATGCGTATGCATATTTTAAGCCTACGATATGATAGATACTGTACGTACGTGCGTCCAGGGGAGTTTGTGTCGAAGTACTAAACAGGTTTAGACCTAGTACAATTTCTAAAGGGCTCGTTTGAATTTTTTTGTTCTTTTTGAAGTAATTCAATCAGAAAAAGTTTGAGTTCTTCTTCGGAAGAGAGTACGAATAAATGTAGGGTACACGTGCGGTACGTATCGTGTGCTACGTATCGGGCGGCCGGTACTCGTATGTGATAGCTGGTACAGTACGGTACGTTTTGTACTCGTACTATTATCGTAGTGGAATCCAATGCGTATGAGTACGAGTACCAGCACTCGTAATTGCTTCCAAGTGTTAATTTAATTTTTCACGCAGGCTCGTCCCGTAAAAACAAGAAATTTGAAAAGATCTTTCCTATTCGACCAACCATCAACAGCATCAACCTCAACACAGCTATGGCATGCATTGGACAATCGTCTCGTGCGGGTACCTAGTAGGACATTCAGGGAAATCACCCGTCTCCAGTGATTAGCTCGCTCGGCGTTCACGCACCAACACCGTCAACATGACCCACGAACCCGCCCACTACCCATCAGCTGGGCAAAATCTGCAGCGGGAGACAAGCGTCGTTCGAGCTCGGCCCTTTTCAAAGCCGTCCGCCGTTTCCAGCAGAATGACGCTGATCGTTGCAGCTGTTACCGCTATGATAATAGGGGAGCACCACGCCTCCGCCGCGAACCGCAGGAGCGCCGCAAACCAAATGCCCCATCGTCCATTGCATATGTCACATCTAAGAGGAGGTTCCAAGAGCGACAAAATCCTCTCCTCCATAAGAGGGGGCGACCAAGATTTGGGCGACGAAGACTTGGACGAATACATCGAATTTTTGCTGGCGTACGCCGACGATAAAGCAACCGAGGCGGACAATCCACTCTTCCGTGGAATGAATGCAAACCAAGTCTTAGAAGACGAAAACGAAAACGAGGAAGAGTCATTGATAGAGCCGTTGGTGGACAACGTCAATGACGATGCGCAAATCGATGCCATGGTCGAGACGTTGGTGGCAACGGTCGATGATCAAGAGGTCGAAGGAGACTTGGAGGTGGAAAACATCGAGGATCATGAATCTAAAACAGAAGCAGTCCAAGTGGAGGAAGTCGTACCGGATATCGAGTTGGCAATCGCTTCTTCACTAGAAGAGGAAACAGGAACTGTGGAAGACATTGCTGTAGAATCTGCATCAGAAGAAACGTCAGCTACAGTTGTCGAAGAAAATATTGAACCGGCTACAATTCCATCCTCATCCGATGAAGTAGAAAAAGTTGGAGAAGTTTCTACGGAGCCTGCAACTGAGCCTGTGACAGAAGAAATTTCATTGGGCATAGTGGAAGATGATACGGAGAGTGCGTTTGATGAAGTAGATGATAAGGAGGCAGAAATTGCATTAGCTGCTGGTGAAGTAACTCTGGTAGACGATGTTGCGACTCAAACCGAAACCAAAGACGAAAAACTTGAAGCTTCGAACATCGAATTGGTCGATGCCGAAGAGAAAGAGACGACGAAGTCAATTGATGACCAGGAAGTCGAAGAAGGAAAGGAAACTGATCCCTTTTATCTGGGATCATCGGCTGTAGAAAACATGCCAGTGCCTTTGAACGAAGATCAAGCTTCGACGAGCACTTCCGAAGAAGTAGAAACGACAACCGAACCGACCGAAAAAGTTCCGTTGTTTACTTCGTTGATGCGAAAGATTGGACTTAAAAAAGAAGTAACTGAGCAAGTAGATCAAACGTCTGCGGATGATGTCGAACAAATCGAAGAGGCATTGGATGCCGAGGGGGTTGCTGCCGAGGAAGCGAACATTGTCATGGGCACGAGCGAAGATGTCGAAGAGCATATTATCTCATTTGGGGAGTCTGATAGTGAGTTGCAGCTACAAACCCATAAGGTTGACGCTGAAGTTACTACTGGAGATGTTTCGGAGTCGAATCAATTTCCCGAAGAAGTATCTGATTCAGCAGCGAGTGAGTTTGATAGCCAGGAATCAACATTAGAACCTATCGGTATTAAAGGAGAAGAAAACACGGTAGGGGCCGAAGTTTCATTAGAAGCCGAGGTGGCAGAAACGAGGGAGCCGGATGCTCTGCCTTCTATTGACGAAAAGACAGACCAGCAAGTCACAACAAGTGTCGTCACCGTGGCAAAGCAATATTATCAGGGTGCGTGGGGATCGGTCAAAGAGTTTTGGAGCAAAAACCGATGGCTCAAAAAAGAAACCGAAGAGGTTCCTTTGGAGAGAGACTATACGAAGATTTACCAAAAATATTTTGCAGATAACCTACAAGCCGTAGATGCAGACGACAGTTCTCCCCGAGAGAAACAGGATCGGTTGAGCAATGCATTCCTGCGACCTTGGGGTACGCTTACAAAATATTTGAAACCCCAAGATCGCGAAGGGGCAGAATCTGCCGAGACAAGCACTGCGAGCTATTATTCTATAGGAATTCAGGGTTACATCGCAGACGATGCAAAATCTGAAACAGAAGTTAGCGGTCAGCTAATAGATAAAATTGAAACTGACATTGAAGATTTGGAAATGCAGGTTGRTGGTGGTGTAATAATCACTGCATCTGAGGATGATTTGCAAGAAGAAYTTGATAACGAAGAGGATCCCGCATCAATTGAAGATACTGAATTGCATCTTGACGATAGTGTTAGTCCGAATGGTCATATAGGAAAGGAAGTTGAAGCAGATGGTGAAGAAATGAATCAAGTTGTAGCTGAAATTGAAGACACCGAAGTCCAGGTTGGCAATGAGATTGAAAGTGCGGACGTGGAAGATATGGAAGAAGTTGTCGATGACGAAGAAACTTTTGAAGCACTAGAAGATTCGGAAGTTCAAGTTGATAATGATTCTACTATTGATGAGGATGAAGTCGGATTCGCTGAACCCGAAGCTGATATTGAAATGCAGGTCAGTGATGAGATTGACATTGCGGACGAGGAGCATCTGCAAGAAGTGAATAACGAAGCGACCCCGACAGCAATAGAAGATTCAGAATTGCATTGGGATAACGATGTCACTTCTAATGTGGATGGCGAAGAAGAAGAAGAAGTTGATGAAGTTGAATCGAATATTGAATTCAATGAAATGCAGATCGATAGCGAGATACCCATTGCAGATGAAGAAGTTGTCCAAGAAGAGAAGGGCGACGAAGATACTTTGATAGAAGATTCGGCATTGCAGGTTGACAACGACGACGTCACTCTGGATGAGTATGAAGTGGAAGCCGACGTTGACGAAGTTGACGATGACATCGAAGCTGCTGATATGCAGGATGATATCAAGGTGGACATTGCAGACGAAGTAGATGTCGACAAAATCGGCGCTGATGTCGAAGGCGCAGAAAAGCACGTTGATTGTGAGATAAGTATCGGAGATGAGGAAGATTTCGAAGATGATGAGACTCCTGAATCAGTAGAAGATTCGGAATTTCAGGATGATGTTGATATTACTTTGGATGAGACTGATGCTGAAGTAGAGGTTGACGGAATCTATGCTGATGCTGAGGGCGCTGAAAAGAACGTTGATAGCGAGATAGCTATTACAGATGAGGAAGGTTTCAAAGAAGAGAATGGTAGCCAAGAAATCCCAGATAATACAGAGATCGACGATGAGGATAATGATTCAATCAACAATACTTCAGCGAAGGACTCTAGTCCACGTAAGTTGTTCACGCGATTATGGGGCATGAGTGGACGTACGAGTCAATCCGATTCTGTAGTGGAAGTTACTAGTGAAAAAGATCAAACGGAGATAGAAGAAAACATCGTTGAAATTGAAGATTCTATTGACCGGGAAGAGACAGGGCGAACAGAGGGTTCCAGCAAGCGAAACATATTCATGCGCCTATGGGGTACTAACAACGAATCAAACGAATTCTATTCACTCGGTTTACAAGGAGTTCCTGATAGTGATTCTATCACAACAGAAGATCATGATGTGATTTCTGCTGAAAGCAGTACAGAAGAGGATACGGTAGAAGAACTCGATGTTGATATATCGGTCAGCATTGGAGAATCAGACACCGGAGGTGGGTCTCTGGATGTCGTTACTTTTGACATTTCTGACTCCTCGGGAGTCGAGTACTCGGAAGAGGAAACGGATTTCCCTGAGATTCAAAGTATCGAGGAGCAAGAATCAGTGGACGTAAAGCTGAAAGAAAATGTGCGTAAGGGACAAGGACAAGATGACAGAAATGTTCTTCAACTTCACCGTCCAGAAAGTGAAGAGATCAAAGAACAGAAAATTCACACMGAAGTCACAAGCAGTATTGCTAGTTCTGAAGATGCGACCGTCGACAAGAATGTTTACCGACTTGAACTGCATCGAGAAGAAGATGATGCTCTGATTTCGGAGTATGGCCAAGACAATATTGCAGCCGCACAGCTAGAAGATGCTCTAGCCATCATGGGAGATAGTYCTGGTAGTGATCAAGATGATGTCTTGCTCGAATCGGAATGCGCGTTGGAAGACACCGAAGAAGAGAACCATGAAGAAAACGCTGAAAGCTCAATTGCTGCAGAGGTTATTGAAGATGCATTTTCTGATGAAGACTCCATCGAAGAAGATTATGAAGAGAAAGAGTTCGAAGCGCAGACACTTGCAGAGACCGCTAACGATGARCTTTCTGAGGAAGGAGAGGACGAGGAAGAAGGTATTATTTGTGAGGAAGAAGAGGACGAGGAAGAAGGTATTATTTGTGAGGAAGGAGAGGACGAGGAAGATGATATCATTTCTGAGGAAGAAGAGGTTTTGGAAGAAGCACTAGAAAGCTCAATCGTTGCAGAGGTTATCGAAGATATATTTGAAGAAGAGGAAATTTCAGACAATGAAGAACTAGTGAAAGTTGCTGATATTATCGAAAATGAATTTTCTGACGAAGATTTTGTCGAAGAAGAGGGCCAAGAAGATTTAGATGTCTCGTTTTTTGAAGATTCAATCGAAGATGAAGAACAGGAAGGTGATTCATATTATCACACTACACCAGGCAACGCGTTGGAAGTGGAAATGGAAAGTGCAAACTTTGTGACGAGATTTTTGGTCAACAAAGGCTTGGGGCAAGTTGTTATTATTGCAATTTTGATTATGGAATGGTTTCACATGTATGTTGTGGCTCCCTTTTTTGAAAGCGTGGATTGGATCAAGTACGGCAAAGGTCAAGATCTTCTCCAAACCGTGCTCAGTTCCCGTGGGGGTGCTCTTGCATCTTCGGTAAGCGACGGTGAAGATGTCGGGCAGATCGAAGAGGATGACGAAGAGGGCGACGAGGATGGTGACGTGTTGACAGAAGTTGAACCAGCAAACGAAAGCGTTGACGAAGAACAGTCGGATCGTTTGACTGAGAGTGAGACAGATGGGGACGAACAGAGTGAAACAATCTCTTCTGCTCCGGTTCCTGCAGATGTACCTGCTCCAAGCAGGCCTCGAGTGCCACCGAACTTTATATTTCGACATCTTGCAAACTATGGTTTGGTGGGGCACATCCTGATTATGGAACTCGTGATGGCTTCTGAATGGCTCCAAGTATACGTCCCACAAATCACAAGCCTGGCGAGTTACATCGCTTATGATTTACTCAATTACAAGAGAGATTTCCGCCGGGGACGCGAAGAGCCCGTTAACAAGAGGAATTCTGGATTCGTAAACATTGGCGAAGGTTCTCGCCTTGGAAAGAAGCCCAAGAAGCTTCGAAAGAAAGAAGACCAGGCCGCTCTCGACCAATTGAAGAGAATTGGCGATGTTAATAATGCAAAATGTCGTTTCCTATCCCAGAAGTTTATGGAGCGACATGCCATCGGGCCGTTCAGCGCAACCATCTCTGAAATCGAACTCGATCTCAATGCCGTCGAAACGGACTTTGCATCGAAGAAAAGAAAACGCATCGAAGAAGAAGAGGAAGAAGAAGCAGAGAGTGATTCAGGCTGGATATTGGATGCCCTCGAAGTGGAAGAGGAAGACGCTCCTCCGTTGAAAAACCCTTTTGATACCAGCGTTGGTGTTTCTCTGGGCAGCGGCGGCCCGAAAGTGAGCGTAGGAATGGAATTCACGATTGGGAAAAAGAAGCGAACCAAGTCATCCTCTGAGAAACTCCGCAGCGTACTTGAAAACGATACCTCTGGCTCGGAAAACAAGATCAAGACCCCAAAACCACACGTGAGTGACAGCGAAAGTGGTGTGATGGGCCGACTGCGAGCTGCGGGAGCCAACAGCGTCATGGGACGCAGTATTTTGGGTGCTTATCCCGGTGATCTCCCGCCCCCGGACGAAGCTGCGAGCCCAAGGGGTGTGATCGGTCTGGCGCGCAGGTATGGTTACGGAGACTGGTCCGACGACGACAATGACGACAATGACGACAGTGACAACGAAGATGATGTATACGGCGACCTATTTAACAAAGACGACGAAGAAAAAGAGARCGATGACTTCTTTTCGGCTTATTCGGACGATGAATACCAATCACGCCCAAAGAAACGGTCTGGGAGTGCCAAGAAAAAGAGAACTCGAAAACGAAGATCGTCTTCTCACGAACAACCAAAGTCGGGGGTTAGCGTCGAATTTGGTTTCGGAACTTCGAGTAAGTCCCAGGCATCGTTTGCAGCATCGAGTCCGACGAGAAGGAGACGAAAATCGTCGTCTTTGTCGTCTTCGACTGTTGCCGATTCGGTATCGTCTTCGGCTAGACGGCGCAAATCACGTGGAAGCCGACTTCCATCTTCGCCTATGGAAAAGCTTGGAGGAGTCCGTGCATCCTCCACGTCCACCGCCAAACCAACCAGCTCGAGCACGGCCCCCGAGGACAGCTACGGGGTTCCTCCGGCCACAACAATAAAACGAAAGAAAAGACCTAGTACGCTTCGACCGGCTGGTTTTTCATTAGACGAAGCAAACAAAAAGTCGACTGGCAGCAGCAAAAAGGAGTGATCAAATACACCGCACCGTAGATTTGCTACAACTTTGTGAACCTTAATATTGTGACAATGCTATAATATTACATGTAAGAAGAAGTTTTATGTCATCACAGTAATCAATACCATGCATCTATTCCCATTATTTTTTCCCCAATGGACTGAAAACAGTACGAGTACCCACAACTGTACGAGCGCCGTACCGGTACGTACTGAAAAACTTGCCATGAATCGCATCCGATTCAGGATTCGACTCGTTCGATCGGAATGCGCACAAAAAACAAAAAACATGCGCATCATTCGTTCTTGTCTAGACCATGTGAGTGAGTGAGTCGTTTCAAAAAACTTTCAAAACAGAAAATACGGGTCGATTGACCGTCCGTTAACCGACACAGTAGAAATCCTGTGACATGCTCGAGCTCTCGAAATAGCGTACCATCGTATTCGTTCTTTGCGATCGATACAGTTCCTCCTTCTGGTTGGATTGCGTTCGCCGAAATTTTTCTACGGTACGTTAGGCTACGAGAAGTAGGCGGCAACCTCGTCCTCGCGCGCGCCCAAGTCCCAGACGATGCGAACGACGAATCACAAACTCTGTCACCAAAGCGGATTGCAATCGTTTCGGCAAACGCTGATCGAARAGCCCGCCAGACCTAGGTTTCTAGATTCGATAACGAGGACGAGTACCCAGTACTGTACCCTACTCGATCCACCGCACCGATTATCCGAGAGCGAGGAGGAGGCCTTCACCCCACGACGAGAAACAATACCAGGGAGCACCGTAGATTGTTGCAGTCGTACCCGATTATTTGTCCTATTGTTCCATCGCATCGCATTCCACCCGATCCCTTCCCATTCCATCGCCGCACCGCGTTGATGCCTCGCCAAACGATCGGGGCTGGGAAGGGTTGTTCCAAGCATTGCCGGCGGAAGCGGAATGAATCCTCGGCAGAAGTTCGGCGGGGACAACAGCCTTCACTCTAGCGCAACGAGGAACGCCAGCAACCTCCAGCGCCAGAGGCAGACGCCGACGCCGACGCAGCAACAGGGACAGGCACAGGGACAGGCACAGCGGATCGATAGCATGCAGACGATGCCGCCCCGCTACATGGACTCGACGCCCCCCCGGCAGGCCTCGGCACTGGGGATGGACACGGCGATTGTTGATTCGTACAACGACGGGAACGGGTTTACACCCTTTCCGGGCAGCACCCGGGGAGGTGCCCTCTTTCAGAGCACCAACGGGGCCAGCAGCAACGCCAACGCCAACGCCAACGGCTACGGCAGCAGYGGTGGTGGCAAACACAACAAAACCCCACCCAGGTACAGCGCCAATGGGGGCGATGCCGCGGGCCGCTCTTGCCTGGTGATCCCCAGTTTTGGAAGCGGCAGGAAGAAAAAGAAGCCCGCCAAGAAACTCTCTCCGAACAAAACGTCCCCGAAACGACGTGGCGGTGGAGGCGGCGGGGGACTCTTTGGCCGCGGTCCCCCGTCTTCGGCGGCGTCCACGTCGGCCGAGTCCTCGATGGGGGATCCCTTTGTAGACGGCTACCACCACAACGACAAGCGGAGCCTGCTGGAATCCTTTGCCAAGAAAGCGGACGGGAACCACGCCAAGGACTGGTACCTCGAAACCATGGTCGAAGAAGACGAGGACGAGGACACCGCAACCAACGACAACAGCAACGCCGCCAATTCCAATAGCAATAGCAATAGCAATAGCCACAGCCACAGCAACCGTCGGACACAGCAATTCCAACCGCGGGAACAACATTCAGCGACGAACAAGCCCTATTCGCAGTTTGTACAACCCAAGCGGCAGCAGCACAGAGACGAAAACTCGGCTTCCTCCGGGGACGCCGTTCCGACTTTTCTTCAGATGCCAAAGGCCGAGGACCGGAGCCACCAGGCACGGGCGCGCCAGGACAAGATGCACGCCTACGAAGGGGAGATGGAACCCGAGGGCGTCAGGGGACAAGAGGCGAAAGCTGTGGCGGACAGYGAGTCCGGAAGCAGCCGAAAGTCCCAGCCGTTTCAGCGATTGCAGCCAATGTCTACGCCTCCCGCCAAACAGCCCGTGATGGCCGTGCGAAAGTTTACAAATTCGGGCACCAGTACCTCCGAATCGTCCTCTCAGTTGCTGCCCATTCGCCAGGTCGTTTCGAATAGCAGAAAACAGCCACGGGATTCATTGCTTGTCCCGCAAAAAGACGAGGAAAACCAGGAGTACGAGGACGATCACCTTTTTCTTCTGGAGAACGAGTCCCCCCTAAAACCCCCACCGGGGTACACTGGAAACCGGACGACGTTCGCATCGACACCGTCGGCAACGCCRGKCGATCTCACCAAAAGTTTTCAGTCGCCGGACCCATACCGCAACAACGGAGACGACGAATACTCCGAGGATATCAACTCCCAAAACCGGGACGACGTCGATAAGCGATATCGGCAGGAAGATGACAGCCGTTCGTTATCGACGCGTTCGATGATCTTGGAAAAGGAGAAACAAAAGGAACGAGAAGTTCGTGCCCTGTTCGCCGCCGAGCAAAAGGAAACAAATCAAAACGGCTATTCGGGCCGCAACAATGGCCGGGGAGAGGTTAAAAAGTTTCACAACGTCAGCCCGCTATCGACTCCGTCTCGATCCCAGCGTCGGTCCGCCCCCGTTAGCGTCGACGATGCATCCTTTGAAAACCCATTGGAGCACATCCAGGGTATCAACGCCATGGCCATGGAACACGTCACCAAGGGAGAATTCGACATGGCTCTCCAGGCCTTTACACAGGTCCTCGATGTGTACATTCAGCAACACGGTGAGGCGCATCCATTAACGGCGAGTGCCCACCACAACCTTGGCACCGTTCACACCAAGCGCGCCGGGTTGCTCCCGGAGCACACGCTCCACCAGCGCCATTGCCGGGAGCAGGCCCTCAMGTGCTTTCAGGCCGCAGCCCGATCGGCCCGGGATTGCCCCTCGCTTGGTCCAAATCACCCCAATGTCGCGGTCAGTCTTGTTCGAATCGGATTCCTCTTGCTGCAATCGAGGCAGTACCGCAACGCCGTCATTACCTTTGAAGAGGCCCTCCGAATCCGTACCGAAAACTACGGTCCGACCCACGCACTGGTGGCAAACCTGTACAACAATTTAGGCGTCTGCCATATGCACCTGCAGAACTTTCGGGACGGGCGAACCTTTTTGCAGCAGGCGCTGGACATTCAAAAGGAGCTACTCGGCCAGGGAGAAGACGATTCCACCGCACTCCTCGAGCTTGCCGACACGCTCTGCAACATCGGGGGCCTCAACCTAGAGTGGATCCGCCGACAGGGACCGGACGCGCGGCGTGCTCTGGACGCCGAATCTGCCTTTTTGGAGGCCCTGGAATTGCGGTCGAAGGTCCTGGGCGAAGACCACGTGCTCACAACCCAGGTTCGATCGCTCCACGACATGGTCCGCAGCATCCCCATGCCCAAATCCRCCGAGAAGCCAAAAGAAAGCCTCGATCGCACCCCGAGTTGGTCCTCTCCAAATTCTACCAACCAAGGAAAGATTGCTTCCTACCGACCCGAGTATTCCCCTGCGGCCATTTCGGACATGACCACTTCGGAATTCACAACTTCGAAGCACTCGGGCCACACCGCCCGCTCCAGGAATGTCGAGGCAAATGCGGACACGAGTCGCTTGGATTTACCGGTCCTGAGAACTCCAAACAGACCACCGGACTCGAGACCACCATTGGATCCCAACAAGGTATATAATTTTAATGATGGCTACGATGCGACGGAAGAAAGCTGCGTGCTGAGAAAACCTGCCGAGGACGGTGAAACAGCGAGCCAAGTTGGGGGGTTTGTAAGCTACGCACAGAGCACTGTGTCAATAGGCAGCGGGGTGGAAAGCGATCGGATCGCAATGATGAAGCATGCAAAGAATGTGCTGGATTCTCACCAAGACTTTATGGACTCTCCGAACGTTAATAGTAGGGTCGATGCCTCTGGGATCGAGAGGACCATTGACGAAAGGGACGGGAATGCAAACGAAGATGGATTGGCGCCTCTTGCGGGAGATTGGCCAGGATCTAGAGACACSAGCCGATTATCTCCGGATTGTCTTCAGAATCCGTCAAGAAACTTGCATACCATCCACAATTGCGCTGCAGCTTATATTTCGAAGGGGCGCTACAACGAAGCAGTGACGTTGTTGGAAATGGTGGTAGAGTGTCAAAAGACGAGGAACGGAGAACTCCATCCCGACGTAGGATCAGCGGTTCACAACGTGGGCATAGCCTACTTGAGGATGGAAGAACATTACGATGCTTTCCAGGCCTTTGAAGAAGCGGTGCGGGTCCGAAAGGCTACGCTCGGCCGAGAACATCCCGAAGTAGCTGTCTCTCTGGTAAAGTTTGGCATTGCGTTGATGCTGCTACAGCGCCACGAGGATGCTCTCTGGATTTTCCGGGACGCCCTGTCCATTCGGAAACAAACCCTTGGTGATCTCCATCCATCGAATGCTCGGATCTACAACAACATTGGATGCGTTCACGTTGAGCTTGGGAACCTCAGAGACGCAAGGAAAGAATTTGAATCAGCGCTGGACATACAGCGAAACACACTGATCCAGAATCCAGAGAACGGACCGATGATTTTTGGAGCATCAACRACACTGCAAAATCTAGGGTATCTGTACGGAAAGTCGGAGATGTATGAGAAGGCGGCGATGGTATTGCGGGAATCACTAAGCGTAAGTAGGAAGRACACCTTTGGAACCGAAGGAGAGGAACTCTTGGTTTGTCCGTKTGTCACCGAACAATTTACTCATCGSCTTGCTTTCTATTTTAAAAAAMAATCTACAGCTCCAGGAAAAAATCATGTACCCGGAACACCCGACTGTGCTCGCAACACTCGAAAGTCTAGCCGARACCTGTTTGGATGCCCAAAGATTCACACATGCACTGAAATATTTCCGTGAACTGTTCGATAGGACCCAATCGATGGATTCGATGGACTGCGTGAAGCAGGCACAGACACTTTACACAATTTCTACAATCTACGGCCAGCTCGACGATACAAAAGAACAGAAGAAAAAACTCGAAATGGCGTTGCGATTTAGTCGGTCCGAAGACGTGCGACTCCAAGATGGCAATTTACAGGAGCGCCTCACCATTGAAAAGAAAATACAGGGGGATTTAGAAATGGTGAAAGGGAAGCTACGCTCAAAAAACAACTGGGTGTAATCAATACTATTATATGTACTAGGGAAGGAACACAGTATTTTTGGACTCTGCAAATTATTTTGTATCAGCACTTTGTACCATCGTATTCTTATCCACCAGTAGCAGTAGCGACGCTGATGCTCATCGTACTGCAGTAATTTTGAAAATTGAGTTATTTTTGTTCGAGTGATGATCGGTGCCTTGGCGTTCTGTATTCCTGTTACTGTAAGGGATAGATAGATGACACCGTCGATTGTCTTCGAAAATTGGTCGTACCGGTACATTTGATGCAAAATCCCAAAATCCTCAATTCGCACGGCAAAGCTCGAGGCGTACGTACAAGTACCCCTTACTCGTACATACAACACATCTCGATTTTACAATCACCACTCTCCTGACTGCATGGTACCAAATGCAACGCAATCATCCATCGTCATCAATGCAATGCTGCTCCTACTAGATGATACTAGGACACGCAAAAGGAATTTGTGGGGCCGTTTTTGTCGGGAGGAATATCCGAACAAATTGTTGGTTGCACGAGATAATTGATGCACGTCATTTCACTACAACAGACGCGGCGGTAGGAGCACCACAAACATCGTCGAAACGCAAGTCGCTATCTGTAGTGTGCATGGTAGGGGACATTGCGGACGCAAGGGCCGATGCTATCACGGTGTCCTCGAATCCAAGCTTGGCCGGAAACCTTCAACCAAACTATTGGAGGTTTTCGGGACGAGCCAACACCAATGGATCGGTTCGGAAGAAAGGAGGGAGGGATCTGGATTCGCACTGCGAACAAATATTTCACACCGACTCGGCCAAAATGAAAACGGGTCGACGGCGAAAATGCGACTCACTGCTGAGTGTCGGCGAGGCCGTCGCAACCCCTGCGGGAAGGAACATACCTAACGCCAAGCACGTGCTTCACGTAGTGGTTCCGGACCGCATCACGCACTATGACGACGGTGTCACCGGTGACGGGGAAGATGCTGATCTCCTCGCACTACTCCGAACGACTTACAACTCTGTTYTTGAATGCGCCGAAACCGACGCCAAGGCAGAATGTCTTGCTATCCCTGCACTGGGGTGTGGAATCAAGGGATGGAGCCATAGAGTCTCGGCAAGGATTGCTAAAGAGGCCATCGAAGAATATTTCCGCAACAAGGGACAGGAAGAGCAACAAAATGAAGGAATTGATTTCACTACTGCTTCCTCACTGACACACATAGCTTTTGTTCTAAAAACAGAKTCAAGTCGAGGCATTTGGGAAGAAGAAATGAGCGCTTTTCCAAGGATGCTTGGTCGAACACAACAAAATTAGAAAAAATGACACTGCAAGCGTTGCAACAGAGAGCTAGATTTGATTGCAAAAAAAAAGAGCCTGCTTAATAATAGCTCCATGCCTTGCTGCAAGGCAAGTTTTTGGTATTCTTATTTGATGCGGGTCACCAWAACTTCGAAGAGAAGCGTAGCGTCGGTTTTGAAGAGTCGATCGTAAATACGTTTTCCATCCTTGGTCGTAGGCTGCGGGAGCTGGTTCTCGTTTCTCGCCGCAAAAACAGCCGTGGATGGCAGCTCGATACGCCGAAGTCCGTTTCGGTGCATACCCATCATTGCCTCTTCTAGGGGTGCTGGCAATTCCCCGCTTCCGACCGTCCAGGCGATTTCATTAAATTCGCTATCGAGCGTTGTCGAGAAATATTTTACGCCACCTGGTTCGTTGGCTGTGGAGAAGGATTTGCATCGAATGGTCATTTCGGCGGCAATCTTGGATCCGGTTTGAACGACTGATATGTGGAATTGAATAAGATGAGCATCGCCGAAAGGGAGGCATGTGAGATGATGCAATAGACGACTCGACCTATAAAAAGCAAATAAATAAAAAAGAGAGCGCTCCGAAATTCTTTTTCTTTCGGTCCATTTTTACACACCTGCGTCTCCTTTTCCTTCTCGATATTCGCGATATTCTACCCCAGATGGAAGCTTCTCGTAGGGTATATTCAGGGTGTCACTAGCCGGTCGTTGGATTTCTTCGATTTGACGCAATCGTTGTGCGGAACCAGAAACATCACCTTCCACGGAGTAACCTTTCAACAAGGAGGGATCGATGCCGGCATTCGCGGGGGTAGCGAATGTGACAGCTGTKGTCAGTGCGGCGGCTCCAGCAAGGACAGAGTTCATAAAYGATCTGCGGTCGTCGTATACAGAGGAGTCTTCATTGTTGTTGTTGCTTCCGAGCATAGTGGTCGTCGTCGTCGACGACAAACCGACTGTATTCCATACCGGAGTGTTTTGGAAGGCTCCGGCCGACGAGAGGRAACAGAGCAATATTATTTGTCGAAAATTCATCATCTTTTGCGTTTTTTCTTGGTTGTAATTTTGTACACTCTAGTTGTTGTTGAATTGTTGTTGAATAGTCCTGGCTTTCAAACATGACATGAGTACTTCTGTACCCGTATTAAAGAGAGTTTTCCATTGTTGTTTCGTATCTGCGTTGCCTTTTCAACGTGTTTTGCTTAGTTGTCCCCCGCATCCCTCATCTTTTCTTGACACGGTTTACACGTCATTCGGCATCTTTTTCAAAATTCAAAATTGCGATTTTCTGCGTCGTGACTTACTTAGTTTCTTCGTTTCACSCGGCTCCTGGGACTCAAGTCGTGACTGAAATCCCCAACTTGAAGAACAGAACCGGMTGAGTCTGAGATTACGGGTGGAACAATCAGATTAGAGGATAGCTCCCTAGCAATCACAAAACACACGAGAAACCTACCTTCTACCGGTGCCACTTCGTCAACTGCTACACGAGTCCTTCTGCTGAATTCTTCATTACTTCACTTCGAAGACACTTCTCGTAAAACATTTACAGCACTACATACAAATCGTTGCCGCCCCTTCATTTTCCGACCAACATTAGGTGTAACGATACTGCGAAAATGCCGCCAAAATCAAGGATAAAACGTAGCCAAASCTATCTTTCATCAGTGATGGCGAATCGACAACAAGCGCAACGACGACAACAAATGGCTGCAGCGACGACGCTGCTGGTATTTTGCTTCCTACTCCTTTTTTCAGCGGAAAATGGGCACGCCTTTACAYCTGAATCTTCAGGAAGGTCGTCTAGGTTATTGAATTGTGGATCGCCCGGTCTATCGTTCAAAGACGAAAATGACTTCGTRCCATCATCACTGAGAACATCTCTGACGCCGTCGTCATCATCKCTCGCAATGGCGACGACAACGTCTTCTACAAGGCTTTCGAATGCCGAACTCGACCGMAAAATTGTAGGTCTGGGACGCAAGGGGAAAACAGACGAGGCCCTTCGAATATTTGAGAGCATCGATCGACCAAACATACGGATAATAAACGGAGCCATTGACGCCTGTGCAAGGGCGCGGCCGACAAGACTGAAGAAAGCCTTTGAGATCCTGGAAAAAGCAACTTCCGAAAGCTCGAATTACAATATCAAACCCAATGTGTTTACGTTCGGATCTTTGATGAATGCTTGCAATCGGGCCAGGGACGCGGAGAAGGCCATTCAGACACTGCGATCGATGGAAAAAAAATACGGGGTCGTTCCGAATGCTGTTGTTTACTCATCTGCTATTTCAGCCTGYGCAAGATCGGAACCTCCCAAACCCGATTTAGCTCTAAAACTTCTTAAAGAAGTTGTCGAAGAAAAGAAATTACCGATGAGTGTCGTAGGATTCAATGCTGCGATCTCTGCATGTGCTCAGGCCTCCGATTGGGAAAACGCTATTTCTCTTCTCACTAGAATGGAAGAAGCGAACAGCGACAACAACTCCGTGAGCGACAGCGACAGCGACAACGACAACGACAATGAAAGCAGCAAATTCTTGGTACCAGATCCCGATGTAGTGACGTACGGAACAGTTTTGGCGGCATGCGAACGCGGARGAGAATGGAAACTCATTCTGAAAAACGCAGAATCCATGCAGGAGCGCGGATTGCCCCTCGACGGACTTTCCGTTATGACGTGCCTCCAYGCCTGTGCCGAGCTTGGTCTAGCTTACGAGGCCCTCCGATACCTCGACATGATGAAATCGGTGAAGGAAGTTACTCCTAGAACGGCACGGTACCAACGGTACGGAGCTAGAAAGCCCCTAATGGGTCCCGATCCCGTAGCTTATCGGTGTGCAATMTCGGCGTGTGCCCGTGGGGGTGCCTGGCGGGAGGGGATCCAGCTCTTACAGGAATGCAAGAATGTCACCGGGACTCCCGCAAACACGGTAGCCTACACAGCAGCTATCACAGGTTGCGAATACGCCGGGGAATGGAAGGAGGCTTTTTTCTTGCTGGACAAAATGCGGAAAGAGGGCGTCGAACCTAACGAACTCACTATGGGAGCGGTCATCGGGGCCTGCGCAACGGCAATTGCCAAGAASGATRGAGATCACGAAACTKGGACAGAAAATATGCCGCTACCCCAGAAAAAAGCCATTCAGTTGCTCAGCATCATGAAGAAGGACCCGAAAATTGTCAAACCGAACATCCAGGTCTACAACGCCGCGATCCGAGTCTGTGCCGAAGCTCACGATACGAAGCGAGCCTTCCGCCTTCTRCAAGATGCAAAGGACTCAAATATCGAACGAACCCAATTTACATACGGGTCCCTGATGACGGCGTGCGAACGCATCGGATCTGTGGAATGSGCTAGCAAAGCCTTCCGTTTGATGAAGGAAGACGGCATCAAACCAAACGAAATCATTTATGGAGCCGCCATCAGCTGTTGYAGGAAAGCCAAGGAGCCCAAGAGAGCATTGCTTTTGCTGAGGAAGATGATCAGCGAAGAACTTTCACCCAATGCCGCAACAATCAACACTGTGATGCTTGCTCAAACGGATTCGGGAAAATCGTCCAACAGCGAAAAGGTCTTGCAGGTATACAAGATYATGCAATCAGAATACGTCGGTGCCCGGGGAAAGCCCAACCGGTATACCTACAACATCCTTATCAACTACTTTGCCGACAYRAAAGAACCCGCCTCGGCCGAGGCCTTTCTAGACAAGATGCGAAAGGAGGGATTCAAGCCTGATGTGGATTTATTCACCAAGACCGTGTCCGCATACGAACGCAAGAACCAGCCCCTGAAAGCGCTGAATCTCATGGAGCGGATGCAGAACGATGGATACGACTTTTACGGGAACAAGGTGTTCAATGAGGCTTTTAAAAAGGGCGTTGCAGTTCTGAATTCCGTGGGCCAGACCTTCGCAGGTTCGGACGAGGAAAAGCAAATTATATCTCGTTCACTGAATCGAACCGATGMGTATGACATCGAAAACGATCCTTACGACATAAATGGAACGAGCGAGGAATAGTAGGTGTATTGATGGTCCAAATTCTCTACCCCAGTAGATTTTTCTAGTCTAGTTAATACCGTGGACCATGCCACTAAGATATGAAAAGGTTTTCTGAACTTCATTAAATGGTTTTGCACTTTTATTTCCGATTCTCGAATTATGTCAATTGTGCAGTGTAACGCTTGCAAAAGCAACATCGAGTCACTAACTGTTCTCTGATTTTCGGAACTTCAGAGATACACTTGACAACGAAATCGTTCGCCCTTGGAGAGAAAAAATGCTTCGTAAAATTTTCTTTTGTCAACGCTAAAATTTTCTTTTGTCGATGAGACTCTCCGATAGTGGAGTGATAAGTGGTAGCCCCCGGCCAGAGTCCCCAGAGTGAAAATTCACTGCAGTGCAAAACCTACGGCGCAGAATCTAGTGCTTTCACAAAAWCCGRATTCGGAATAGCTAGGGTTGCGACGCACTGTACCCTGTGATACAATTCTCGTAGCGAGGGAATTCTAGCAGCACCCCTATCTCTCGATSGTTCTATCAAACGCATCAATCSACGCAGTGGTTGTTCCAAACCGTMCAATCGAACCGGTGATCGGAGAATCATTKGTCGGTGATTGGTATCCAATGAAATGACTTCATGTGCTGTCTTTGAGAACAGACCCTAGAGGGTTCTAGCGCATCTCTCCAAGGGCCCCCTGGATCTGGTGAACGAGGTCGTGGCACTGATCAAAGGTAAGAATCGCGTCCGGGAATGCTGGGACCAATTCAAACTTAGCGTCCTTGTTTGTTCCTCCCGCTGTCTTTTCGAGTGCCACCCGGATCATAACGTGGGTAGTAACCGAGAAACCACCAACGTGTTCCAAAAGGATGCAGTCTTTTATGGACTCAAGAGGAACGAGAGGAYAGTTACAGACTCGTTCGATTTCCGGACTCGAATCACTAGACGCAGTGCTTGTAGTAATGATTTTGGATCGCTGTATTCCGAGGGGACAAATCGTGACGGAGAGCTCGGTGTCTCTTGTTTGTGCTTGGCGTCTCGTGGAAAATAGACAACCCCAGCAATACAAAACAACAATGGCCACCGAGATGGCCCCCGCGACCAAAGCGGTGTCGTCTTTGTATTTCTCGTACGAGTGTCGGAAGCCAAAACTAGAAAATTCAACATCCACAAAAGAACCCGAGGCTGTTTGGGGCAAGAAGACACCGATCGCGACAGCGGCGATAGGAACCAGGAAAGGCATCGCCAGCGACATCCACCAGGAAGGCTGGACGGCTTCCCGATAATGGATCTCGTAGCGGGTCGGTGCTGGAGCCACCATCGATTCTTCGGCACCGGCGCAACCCGTGTGTGTCACCATGACTCCTTCAATTTATTTATTTTGCGTTGTGTTGCGTCGCGTCACTCGCTCGATCGTTAGCCCGTCCGTCCTGAGTCTTGTTGCCAGTAGGCTCCGATTGAGTGATGCGGCGCGTGGTCTTATTGAATCTCTCCTCCTTTTGCTTACGAATACGTGGTAGTATGTTCTGCCATGTGGTACTGTAAACAACCGAGCAGTGATACACCTTTTGACTTCAACGAAGGTGTATTAGTAGTGAAGGGAGTGCTCTTGAGACTTGAGATGCTCATGTCCGATACGAAGTGTGAGTTGATCATTCCTTTGTACGGTACTATGACACCTACTGAGAAACTACTAATTCATACCTACGGTATCGGACTCACAYAGTGTATGTTGCTAGAATGAAGTACRTACGAATGTAGTTTTTGGTGGCAGTTCAGCAGTTGCTGGCAGAATTTCGAGCATATTTTTTCCTTCTCATCTTTTTTTTGCCTGATGACGACTGAATGGTTTTGTTTTCTTCCGATGACGAAAAAAGTGCAGATTGCTGGCAGCGAGAAAACAGTACCATACTACATACCGGTACAGTTCTTGTCACCGAACAGAAGATTCGTTCATAAGTMACGGTGTCGTATGAATCGAATACTCCTCGTATCGGTACAATGCTCTCTCGGATCATCTTCGTTCCACTCTTTACAATATTGAGAGCGGCCGGCACTTCCCAGGCATTGATCGCACCAGCCACAAGACCATCGGCTTCTTCCCCCCGCTTGTCGGCCACCACCGGAAGCTCGGAGGTTGCTTGGACCGAAGCCGAGTTGCTCGAAGAGAAAATCAGGATGAGCCAGGGCAAGGGGGATGCAGAGCCAGTCCCCCGGCTGGTTCGCATCAAGGCGGAACTCCTCGATCGAGATTCCGACTTTTCGAACCTCGGGGAACTCCTGGCGAACAACAACAACGGCGGCGGCGAGGAGACGATCGCCACTAAGATCGTTCACTTTCAGCGCCACGGGCAGGGCTACCACAACCTGCTGGGCGACGTCCTGCGGGACGCGGGCGTCCGACCGGACATCTTCAGCTCCGACCCGGCAATCAACCCGTGGATCCGCCCCGAGATCGTCGATTCGCCCCTCACCGAYCTGGGGAAACGCCAGTGCGAGGGGCAGCGGGCCCACGCGGCGCGGCTCAAGCCGGAAGCGGTGGTYGTCTCGCCCCTCCTGCGGGCCGTCCAGACCGCAAAGCTGAGCTTTGCCGACTACGACGAGGCCATCGGCAACGGCATCCCRTGGATCGCCCACGAGGGCTGCCGGGAAGAAGTYGGGTACCTGGTGTGCAACAAGCGGCGGCCGCTCTCGGAAATCAGGGCCGACTTTCCGGAACTCGAGTACCCGCCGGAAATGACGGAAGAGGACAGCCTGTGGGACCCGTCGGCCTTTGAGAGCGAAACCGCAAAGGGGAACCGGATCTACGACTTTTTGGTGAACTTCCTCGCGGAGCGCCCCGAGCGAAACCTTGCGGTGGTGTGCCACTCGGCCTGGCTGGCCGCCATGTGCAACGACGTGCTGGATTGCGGGGGCGACGAAAACCTCACCTCGTGGTTCGGTGTGAGCGAGATTCGGTCCGTGAGGCTGACCTTTTCGAAAGCCGAGTAGGGCTCGGGATGAAAGCCGGTGATCGCAATACAGCACACGACATCCTGWGCCGGGAAAGAAGATTAAATCAWAGAGTAATTCAAAGTGTACGGTTTTATCGATTGTGATTATGTATTGTAGCGGAGTACGAATGATATGTTTTTGTGCCGGTGTTCTGCTAGAAAGCAAATCATGTTTAGTCGTCGAAAAGTTTATTCCAATCAAAAACCACATTTGCGGCTGTGTTTCGTTCCGGAAACCMAAGTTTGCAAGCTAGGGCCAACGCATACCAATGCATCTTGCAGTGTGGGACAATGTGGCTTTGCACTTCGTGCCTTCTGCTTCAACTCATGGCTCGGATTCTTGCACTCGTTTYGGCTCCGATCACCCCATGGCGGCTTGCAATCGGATGCCTGGTTCGTCACCAACAGTGAAACGATATGATACGAGTACCCAAAAGGCGTGCCAAGGTTTTTCGGCTTTGAGGTTCCGTACTGTTCTGTTCTGTGTCGTGTTGTGTGAACACCCATCTCCGGAACCAAGAATCTCGTGCCCACTAGCACGCTGCCGCGACAAGGCTGTCTGGGATACGGCGTTACCTGAGGCAGTGCTTTCGCAACTGGGCGCGCTTTTCCTCGCCAAAGCAAATGCTGTCCAGGTACCCCTCGACGGAACCGTAGTTCCGGCGCGTCCAGGCCAGCGTGTCTTCCATGGCGGACGCCGGGCTGCCCCGAAAGTAGCTCCAGTCGATCGTCGACGACGACGACGACGACGAATCTCCGCCGTCGCCGGCCCTGGTCTGGTTCGGAAGCTCGCCGATGTTGCTCCCCGAGAGAGCATACGACTCCACCATGTCCCTGTCGGTGCTTCCGCCGAGGCACTCCTGGAGCAGCATGGAAAGGATCCCCGTCCGGTCCTTTCCCTTCTGGCAGTGAAAGACCACGGGCCCGCCCCCGGACGACGCCGACGCCTCCAGGCAGGCATCCAGGGCCTCCGCCAGGGGCCGGCCCCCGGTTTTCATCGTGATCGAGTAGAGCAGCGGCAGCCCGCCCCTCTCCAGGTGCCGCGCCGCCGCCTTGTCGAGGGCCCCGCCAACGACCGCCGTCCGGAGCGTCGCCATCCAGCGCTCCCCAGGTTCCATCGAGGCGATCGCTTCCTCCCAGAAGGCGTCCACGTTTCCGAGGACGGGGACGGTCGCGAA